GGGAAAGAGGAGAGGGAAGGAAGCAATAATGCTCAGTGGTAATCTGCCCTGAACTGAGGAGGATGGTTAATTTAACCTTCTGCACCTAAAGTCCCCCCCGCCCCGCAAAAAAGAGGAAATTGATATCCCCTATAAATACCATGACATTTTCATTTTTTCTGTCTAAGCCTCCAACCTTTATTCCTGTGCATAGCTGTCACCATGACAAGTTATTTTACTTTACGCCTTGTTTAAGTAACAAGAATGAACTTTTGCTCACTAAATGCCAGCCCTGGGCTAAGATCTGTAGGTCTGTGATCTCAATTTATCCTCTCAGTAACATTGTGAAGTGTCATTATCTCCATTTTACAGATGGGAAAACTAAGCTCAGAGAGAAGATTCTTTGTCTGGACCCTTACTAAATCACAAAGCTGAAATTCCAAACCTCTTGGCCTCAAACACCCAAGATCATATGATTGCATCAAGCTGGTCCGACAGCTTCATCATCATTATTTTTAAGTCCTGCCTGTGATTTATTATATTGATATAGGGTAATTTACTGTGATTTGCTAACTGCTCTCTGATTTCTGAGAATTTGGGTTCTTTCTAGTTTTTGTTGTTGTTGTTGTTGTTTTGCTTTCGTAGATAATCCTGCAAAGAATATCTCCAGGTTTAGAGCTTTTTGCTTCTTTTAAATTATTCCCTTATGAGGTTATTTTGTGTTCACCCTAGAGAGTGGCCCTCATTATGGCAGTTAATTCACATTAAGGGAGTTTTCATGAGAGGAAATGCAGGGAGTGGGGGCGAGCAGGGCATCTGTGCAGGGGCAGGAAATACAGGGGGAGTTAGGCCTCAGGCCAGGCAGGAAGTTGGATCCGAATTAATTTCTGTGGTCTTCACATTTTCCTACTGCCTTCTGGGATCAGGTGGGGAATGGGTTTCTGGCAAGCTCGAAGATAGGGCTAACGCAGCGGAACATGAAGCTGCTGTTTGTGGGAGGTGGACAGCTGGGACTAGCTGGGGCCCCAATAGCTCTCTAGCCTTTTGGCAACTGCCCTGGCCAGCCTAGGAGGGGTCAGCTGGGGATAGGCAGCAAGTAAATATAGATCTAGGGAAGGAAGCCAGGCAGCCCAACCCTGCACTGATCTCTTGCTGGAAGGTCAGGGAGGGTGGGGAGGGAGTATGTCCTGGCACCTTCCTCTCCAGTGGTGGGTGACACCTGGCCCAGCAGCCCCCTAGAATTGCTGCAAGCTATTGGGGGTGGGGATGGTCCAGGAGAGGGCAGAGGCTCCAAGGGTATCAGAGTAGGGGTTAGTGGGTAGCTGATCAAGAGATGCTATTCCTCTGTGACTAACAACAAACTGTGTCTCCTCTCTGCTGATCCCTTTCAGAGATGTCGCCCAGTTTAATACGTCCAGGCTAAGGATCTGACTGGTCGCCCAGCTTGATACGTCCAGGCCCACTTACAGCCCCTCTCCCCATCCCCATGGCTCTTGCTTATTCTGAAGAGGAAGGATATCTTGAACGTAAACTTGTCTTCCCTTGCTCTCTGCCCCTCACTGAGTGCTGGCCCTCTTCATCCTAGGGCTTAGGGGCTACTAGCCTTAGCTCTACCCCAGTTCCAGTGCCACCCCCAGCCTGGCTCTCTTTGCCCCTGCCAGGGCCACAGCCCTGCACCAGCTTCACACCACACATACCATGTCCACCTGGTCCAGCCAAGACCTTTTAAACCTCCAACTCTGGGAGGGGAATTCCAGCAAGGCAATCATTCCACCACAGATGTATTTATTGGCAAAAACTATTCCCAAGCATTGAGGGGAAGGGTGCTAGCAGAGTGGGTGACTTTTTCCCACTTTCTTAGCAGTGTTCAAGGAGGGGCAGGGGTTGGGGGAAGCAGGGACATCCCAATCAGAATAACAATACCAGCAGCTAACATTTATTGAACTTTTCCACTGAGGCCTGAGGCCAGGCTCTGTGTTAAGTTAGCACTTTACATGCACTGTCTCATTTAATTCTTATAACAACCTTAGAGATATGTACCATTATATTCCCCATTTTACAGTTGAGGAAACTGAAGCATGGAAAGTGAAGAGGTGAGAGGCAGCTGTCAGCCTTCAGGGGTGCACCTAAGGGCCTTCCATCAGGAGCCCGTAGCCTCCTTTCTTTTCTGTCACACTATGAGTCTCAGTTTTAACCATCTCTTACCATTTCCAGTTCTTTCAACTCTTTTTATACTTTTGGTTTTGTTTTTTTTTTAAATAAATTTTGTCCATGTTCTGCAGAACCTGCTGTCTCCTATCCCAATTGGTCAAATCTAGGTTCTCCCCAAGATTCGGCTTGGGTGGGGTTGGGTGGGACAGTGGATCTCTAATGGGGGGCATGGGCATGTGTGGGAAGCCAAAGTACAATGATAGCTCTGAGAAAATACATAATCAATAAATTACAAACCTCCCTCCCCTTCCCCTCCCCATCTCCTCCCTCCCTCCAACCCCCATCCAAATATAGAACAGATTGTGTGTTGCTCCCCTGCCCCCCACTCTTAGGTAGGGTCTTGTCTCAGTCACCTCCGTGTCCACAGGGTCCAGGGCCTCAGTAAATGTTTGTGGAATGAATGAATGAGTGAATGAATGAGAGCATGGGGGGAGGAAGGAAGCAAGTACTTAGGAGTGCTGAGTCACAGGCCTGATTGTCTCCTCACATGCACCTTGCCCTCACAAGGACACCTCCTTCTGCTCCAGAGAAAAGAGACCCCAGGTAGAGGGTGGGAGCAGAGAAGAGGGAGGGAGGAGTCAGCAAGGACATCTCTAAGCGTGGGAAGGTGGATGACTGAAGTAGAGCACAGAGCTCTGGCCTCAGAGTCAGGAGACCTGGTTCAGATCCCAGCTGTATGGCTGTGTGACCTTGGACAGGCTTGAAGAAGCATGATGACTACTGCATGATAGTCCTTTCAGATTTTACAAAGCCCTTTGTTCACATTTATCTTTGATCCTCCAGGAATGTGAGTATTATTATCAATATACCCATTTTACAGAAGAAGAAGCAGAGTCTGAAGAGGTTAAGGAACTTACCCAAGGTCACTCAGCAAGCAGGAACTTGAACCCACCTCCACCAGCTTCTACCCTCACTACTACCCCTGTCTGTGCCATGAGGAGGTGAGGCTTAGATCCAAGACTCCCAACAGCTTATCCCCATGTGGCAATGTGGCAACAGGACGGGCTGTAAAGCTAATGCCCTGATGTGGGTTCCACTGGCCATTTCCAGCTAGAAAAGCCAGTCTAACCCATCGTGGAAGGTTTCCTAGACTTCGTTCCCCCACCCACAACCCTGGGGCCTCAGCTTTTGCTTCAGGAGGGACCTGGGAGTCCATGAGATGCCCATGAAATTCTGCTTTTCCTGAGACAGCGAAGCAGGAGAATGGTGGAGGGGGCCTGGGTCTTCCCCTCACACAGGCATGGGCACCTCATCATATTCATCCTGACCTTCCTCTTCATCAAAGGTTGGTTTGGCATCATCGGCATCCAGCTGGAGGGCAGGGTAGCAAAGAGAGACGGTCAGGGACCCAGGGGCCAGATGAGCCATACCCTAGTGCCAAGAGGCACTTCCAGAGTTAGAAGAAGGCCTAGCTCTCTTTGAACCTTGGACAAGTCCTGTCCTGTCCCTACAGCTCCTAGGGTTGGTCAACAGGAATGATTTCCAAAGGATAGGGAGCCCTTTGGCGCCCCAGCAGAAGAGGGCCTCCAGGAGGTGGGCAGGGGACTCTGTCACAAGGGCAGCCCTGCAGTGACCTGTGTCATATCGTAGAAGAATGAGCAACTCTGTCCAAAATGATTTGGAAGACCACAGGTGGTAGGGACAGCTCACATGGAACATACCTTGTATGTCTCTTAACCCTCTCACCAACCCAGTCATAATTTCTCTTTTTACAGATGAGCAAACTTAAAGCACAGAGAAATGAGGCCACTTGTTCCAGGTCATACAATAGGATGTGGCAGTGCCAGGATTTGGACACAGGCCCCAGATCCACATCTTAACCATGCAGCTCTCTGTCTTCCTTAATTCTGAGACCCATCCCCTCTGATGAGCCCTTCCAGCCCCAGCTCTGGAGTCCTGCCCTCTCGCCCCTGCCCTCTCTTCCCCCTCCCTCCTATCCCAGGCCTTAGCTACTCACACACTGGAGCTCCAGGTTCCTGAAGATGAGTGGCAGCAGGAGGCGGCGCAGGGGCACTGTGAGGATAAGGACGAAGGGCAGGGCCAGCGAGGTGCTCGGGAAAGATTTCACTGCCCATAGCACTGCCAAGCAGATGATCTGGATGCCCGTGAACAAATGCATGCGCCAGGTCTTTACCTGTGGACAGAGGCTGGGTTCATCACCTGCCCTGCCCCAGCACCCAGCACCTCCTCCCCATCCCAGGCTGGGCGGCCAGAGGGCTCTGTACCCGCTTGACATAGGGCAAGTCTGGGTGGTACTTGGGTGGCTTCAAGAGAAGCAAGATCCGGTCAAAGAGCTGGATGCCGCTGAGGGATGTGACTCCCATGTAGAGGAAGATGCCAAATAGCACAGCCAGAGGGATGTGGGACAGGATGGGTCCCATGAGGATGGACAGGCCTGTGGGGAGAACCAAACACTCTCAGCCCTATGTGCCTCAGAGGACTGGCACCAGCAGGGGCCAGGGAAGGAAAACACAGATGCCACGTGGAGCGCTTTCTATAGATCCTTTTAATAGCTGTTACCTGCATTTAACAGATGAGGAAACAGACTCAGAGGTGAAGCAACTTGCCTAAGCTCACATAGCTAGTAAGTGGCAGAGCAGGGAGTCAGGCTCCTGCCTTCCTGACTTAAAAGCCTATTCCTTTAACCTAGGGGGAGGTCACAGAAGTCAGAAAAGCCCACCTTTTCCCTCATTCCAGCCCAGAATACCTCCATCACTCTCCACCTATCCAAATCCTAACCTTTCTCCAGCTAACCTCAACTTCACCTTCCTTAAGAAACTTCCCTGGTGGCTCTATCAGCAACCAACTGGACTCGCAGCTGCTCTAGACTTAGATCAACCCCAGTGACCCTCTGTCTTCTCCTCCTCCACCCCCAGATTATGCCTCAAGCACTGCGCTTCTTATCTATCATAGAGCATCTGAGCTAGAGACCTCAGGGGCATCTAATGAATCCTTTAATGGTACAGACAGGAAAACTGATGTCCAGAGACAAGAAAGGATGCCAAGTTAGCAACAAGACAGAGCCGGAATCCACAGTTTACTGAACTGCTATGTAGAGAAGTAATGGAAGCCCTCTGTTCTCCCCTGCTCAGATGCCCATCTCAGTGCCTTGGGCATTTCCTCTGGAATTTGATCATATGAATAACTGACACTGGGGAGATAGTAGGCTACAGGTGTGTCAGGAGGGTTGAAGGGGGCACTGGATCTTAAGGGGCAGGGGCTGGGGGCCAAGGGCAGAGCCAGAGGGTGGTGGAGAGCGCGGCCAGGCCCTCACTTACCCACGAGCACAGAAACTAGGAGCCCGCTAATCCGCTGCTCCTTGACCTCCTGGATCTGGGCTGCAGCCCCCGGGGCGCTGGCTTTGCCCATGACGGTAAGGGCATTGGCGTGGGTGACAGAACGCACAGTGGTGGCACTGAGCCATGGCATCCCAAAGAGGGTAGCCACTCCACCCATGCCAATGACCAACAGCAGGTCCAGGTGGAAGCCGGAGCCCTTGACCATCTTGCGCTCTGGTTTGCTGATAATCAGCCTAGAGATATGGGAGGTCAGGGGTAAGCAGGGCTCTCTTTCACCCCACTCCCTCTGCCCCCTCCTTCCTTCCCCATACTTGAGTCTCTCCGTATCTCAGTTTATCCTTCTTTGCCCATCTCCCTTGGAGTTCCTTGCTCCCATCCCTCCCACTCCAGACTCTAAGAGCAGAAGTATCTTCAGACATCACCTAGAATGTCCACAGGCAGATTTATTCTGAAGCTAATGAAGCATAGGCTTCAGGGAGCCTCACTGTTACAGGCCCCTTCCAAGATATGGTACCTAATTTTGTAGATCTCATTTTGTATTTTTTCTTAGAAAGGGCTCCCCAGATTATACAGAGGCCTTGCCTCTCCCTGTTCGCAATACCTGCAAGATGGGAGGGCCACATGTTCCTCTGAGAAGATCATCAGTCTTTTGTTCCTGGAGCCTTCCCTTTTCCCTGCCTCAGACTCTCCCAGCCCCAGCTCCACCCTGGTTCTTACGTGGTGATCTGGGACTCAAGGAAGATGAGGATGAAGACCAGCAGTGCAGGCAGGGCGGAGGCGAACATCATCCAGATGGGAAAATGGGAGTGCAAGCCCAGTGGGTGTATGAACCAGCCCCGGGTCGAGGGATTGGACACCTCAAAGCCTTTAGGCACACTGAGTTTCTGTGGGAGGGAGATGCTAGTGAGAACACTGGGGCAGGGGATAGGGAAAGGTGGAGATGGGGAGCCAGGGTCCTGGGTAGTTGACAACTTACTTATATTGGGCACTTTGTATTCTGTCCCCACACTAAGCCTTTTACATAGATCTCATTTCCAACTTTATAGATGAGGAAACAGGATCAGAAAGGTTATGAAGCTTGTCCTGCATCACACAACTATTTGGTGGCAGAAGTGAGATTCATACACAGATCTGCCTGACTCCAAAGCAGATTTTTTCCTGCTGCCCTGGGCTAAGGAGTAAAAAGGGGTAACTTTACCCAGGCCCTTGCTTCAGCCAGAGGGGTCCTATAAGGCTGTGGGAGGAATGGCTTCAGTTTGGGAAAGCCATTCTGGGGGAATGAAATGAGGGTGGGAGGAAAGGGTCACCTGGGTGTAGGTGTCCTGGATGGAGAAATCCACCATGACCATAATCAGGATGGAGATAGGAACCCCGAAGTCTCCGATAACCCGTCGCAGCTGAGAGCAGGCGGAGGAACCAGCGGTTAGTACCCAGTTGTTCCCCACCTCCCACTTACCCCCACTCCTGCCCCATCTTCACCCCAGGGGCCCTGCTCTTCCCAGAGGATCTGCCAACATCTAATACCCTGTCTTGCACCTCAGTGTACTTGCCTCCTTTCTTCTTCCCTTGGCCCAGCTCCACCCCACATCTTCTCCACTTCCTGCCAAGCACTGTCCCTGGCTCCCCACTAGGTCCTCAGCCTGGGTATGCTGAGAAAGGGAGATGGGCTTGCCTGAAGAGTGAGATTGTGGGCGAAGATGGGTCCGGGGAGGCTTGGAATTGGGAATGAATCGGGAAGGAGAACTAATGGCATTGGGGAAGCAGGGAGTGATACTTTGGACTGGAATAGGGCTATGTAGGCAAGAGTAGGTGGAGATGATGTGCTGACCTTGCCAGGGAAATAAGAGCTGTTCTTGAACTTGCGCAGTATCATGGCGAAGAAGAAGGTGCCGGCCATGAGCACAAGGGAGAGGAGGGCTGTGTTGGGCAGAGGGGCCTGATCTTTGGGATCTATCGTCACGTTGTGGTAATAATGCTTCTGCAGTGGGTGCCTCTGGAAAATCTGCAGCAGAAAACCAGGCATCTTGTTCTCTCTCATCCATCCATTCTCCATTCATCATCTCTCTATCCATCCATCATCCGCCCATCTAGTTTTTTTCAACTGACATGGTAAGAGAGGGGCAATGGGATTCTACAGTTTGTTTTTCAGGAGTGAAGACCAGGCTAGGCTTGGGTGGAGTGGCCACGAGGCAATGAGTGTGTGTGTGTAGCGGGGGGCACCCGGGGTCCAGGAGACAAGAGAAGGCTGGAGGGCAGGACACATGTGCCAAGGAGGTTCCTAAAAATGGTTTCGAGCACTTGGAAAGACCCACCAACCAACAGAATCAAGGGCAGACATACAGTGTCCACGCTTCCTCCATGTAAAATGTGGATACTGAGGCAGGCATCGTTTAACATGACAGAAATGAAGGCAAGCGCAAGAGCGGGAGGGTAGACTTCAGAGCCTCGAGAACCCCCACTGCCCCCACCACACATGCAGTTTCCCCTTTCTTGGCCCATAGTCACTCTGTGTGTGTTTATAAACATGGACATGTGCATACAGAGGTGCCTTCTTATGCACGGTCACTCTGCATAGTCATAGCAAGAATATCGGCAGCAGGTGTCAACATATATGTGGTCATAGTCATATACCATGAAAACATGGCCACACAAATGCCATAGAGACATATGTGCAGTGACACACGGTCACATAGTTTACGCCCAGTCTCACACACACACATCCCCATGGCTTGTTCACACTCCCACCTTGATCAGCTTGCTGAAGGTCTCATAGATGAAGATGAGGGAGATGAGGAAGGAGAAGATCTCTTGAGTGTAGCGGGAGATGAAGCTGACCAGGAAGCTGCCTTCGAAGGCCACCACCAGTATCACTAGCAGGATGAGCCAGAAGCCGATCCACACGCGGCCCACGATGTACTCCAGGCCATTACTGTCACAGAACTGCAGGGTGGTCAGAGGGAGCTAGGGTCAGACAAATGGGTCCAGCACCGTGCATCACGCAGGTGGGGCCAGGAGCCAGTTACAGGGTCACAGTGGGTCCAGAACAGAGCTACCGAGAAGAAGGCTTCCTCAAACACGAGCAGGGGCCCTGAGAAGCCAATCACAAGCAGGGGCTGAGCCGCCAGCAGAGCAAAGAGAATGCCCTGTATCGCAGTGGAAGTCAGCAGCTCCGACACCCCCATCTGGTTCTGGGTCTTCTCTCCTGTGAACAGAAGTTACAGTGACGTCAAGGTCACAAGTTCATTTCCAGGGGCCTATGGAGCATTTCATGGGCAGGCTGATGCAGGGGTCCAGAGTGTCAGATGAGGTCAGAAGTCAGGGACCACACAGAGGCCAGAGGGTCAGAGGTAAGAGCTGGGGGCACACAGCATCACTGACCCAGGAGGCCACCGAAGGTGATGGCCGGTGACAGGGCCGCAAAGTAGATGAAGATGACGGCAGCCAGGACCTGGGGGCTGAGTGCGTCTGTGATGTCACTCAAGTAGCGGGGGTAGCGGCGTTCTAGGTCACGCACCAGGCCCCCGAAGAGTTTTCCTGTTCGTCGTAGAGGGTCATCTGGGCCACCAGGGACCCCTGGACCCCCATTCAAATCTGTAGCGAAGGATAGGATCGTGGTCACAGAGGGTAGCAGGGGGAGGTGTGGGGAAACGGGAGTTGGGGGGCTATCATCTCACGGGAATAGGGTAGCCAAGAAGGCTGGGTGGCATGAGGACAGGGAGACAGGACACTGTAGCAGTTGATGGAAAGAGGCAAGGCAGAGCTGTGCTGGGGTTTACTGGGGTGTCTTTGGGGGTTCAGAAAGCCTTGAACTGGCAGGGCAGGTACCTAAGCCCTTGTAGAAGCTGGGGTCTGGCTTGGCGGGGCTGGGCAGATAGCGTCTTCGCAGCAGCTCCTTCTGCACAGGCACCAGGCTGAGCAGCGCCTGCTCCGAGGGAACGTCCGAGGGGGGTAGCACCAGACTGCAGTCCAGGAAGCCCTCCAGAGAGTGCACCAGCTCCCTCGGACTCTGGGCCACGTACGCGTCCGTGCGGAACACCTGGGGGCCAGAGGAAGGGTTATGGCTGCCTGCACCTTCCGGACAAAGGAACTCAAGAGTCCACAGCCAGGTCCCCTAAGGACCAGAACCCTCTCACCCAGCTCCTTCTTGCTAGGAACTACTCTGCCTGCTCCCCTCCTTTACCCCCAACTATGGAAGGGCCTTGGGAAATCAGACAAGGCCCTGAAGGGGAAAAGGAGAAAGAACTAAAGCAAACCAGGTGGCTTATAGCAGACCAGATGGAGCCAGAGCAGGCCAGACTTGACCAGGGAGAACCAGGTCAGAGTGGGCCAGGTTAGGCCAGGCCATATCAGGCAGGGTTGCACCGGACTCCACGGGGCCTGGACTACACCTGGCCAGACAGGCCAGAGGCAGCTGGATTCGACTGAATGGGCCAAACCATTGAAGCTAAAGTAACTCAGGCCAGCCCAGGCTGGAGAATGGGTCTCAGCTGCCCCCAGCTCCCAGGCTCCCCAAGTCCTCGCTGGCCCCTCCTCACCCTCTCCGACATGAGAGTGGCAGCTGCCCGACCCAGCTGGGTGTAGTCTCTGTAAGGGGCCTCAGGTCCCAGCAGCACGAAGAGGAAGCGCACGGGCACGGGCAGCTCCACGGCGTCCTCCAGCTCCACAGCCTCTTGCAGCCGGACGAAGCCTAGCACCGGCCGCTCCAGGAAGGTGGTGCGGCCTGTTGGGTGGAGGCAGGAACGTGGTGGGGTGGTCGGGCCAGGCTGAGGGGGCACTGCTGGGGTTCAGGCTTAGAGAGAGACAGCCTGGGCCAAGACAGGAGGCGGAAGCAGGGAGTGTAGAGGGGCGAGCAGTGGGGTACCGCCGCTTACCTACTAGCACAAGGGTGGCCTCAGAGTCCGGGGGGATCTTTTCCAAAATTCCAGATGATGAGCGCCCTTCTATGTCCCCCTTTCCCTGTTGGGAGGCTGGGGGTGAGGAGCACACCCAGCTTCCTCCTTCCCTCCCCACTCTCGTTTCTAACCATGTTCAGGTTGGGGCTTTCCAGCTCTCCCACACACCCCTGGCATCACCTGTTCACCGAAGAGCTGTGTCTCCAGCGAGGGTTGTTGGGGGAGCAGAGGCTGTGTGGGGTCCCCTGAACGCGTCACGACTGTGGGCTTCACACCCCCCAGGGCCTCTAGGTCTCCCGCATGGCTGCAGGACACACAGGAGACAAGGGCTGAGTACACTCTCAGGTGGGGCTATCAGCAGAGTGAAGACTGGTGATGTGTGTGTGTGGAGAGGAGGGTGTCAAGAAGGACTTCTTAGTGACCAGACTAGAGAGACCCCGGGGAGAAAGGAGAATCAGCCTCTTCTGAAGGATGCTGTGGATGTAAGCTGGTAGCCTCTGTCCAGAACGTGTAGGTAGAGCCAGAATAGATGGAGGGAAGGGCCTTGATAGTCTGCCCTCCTGGGGACCAGTGGCCCCCAAATTTGAGCATGGAGACATGGCCACCCCTCCAGAGGTATCAGAGGCCAGGGCCATCCTAGAAGAAAAGTGGGCCCCAGGATGGTGGGGGAAGGGCCATGTGGACTTCCGGGGAGAGCTTGGGGCAGGAGGGCTGGGGAGGTGGGCCATTGGGAGTGAAGTCTGGGTCTGGGCAGGCAGGGGCACCTGTGTTTGAGCAGCAGGACCCGGAGCAGCTCGTCTCGGTCCTGAGGCCGGATCTGATCCTCGTAGATAAACCTATCCAGCAGCTGGTTGGCCACTCCGGCCAGGGAGGTCTCTGACAGGTCCAGGAGGACAGTTCCTGCAGGCAATGGAGGGGTGAGCTGGACAGCCGGACTGTGGCCCTCCCCTCCGCCAAACCTCACACGCAGGGGTCACAGAGGGGCCCAGTAGGGCTCACCCTTGGCGAAGGCTCTCTGCAGCTCCAGGAGGCTCCAGAAGGTGAGATAAGACAGGTGCGGGCGGCCCCAGGCCCCGTCCTCCCCCAAGTTCTCCTCTAGCCGAACCCAGCGTGCTGCTTCCATCCATCGCAGTTCCCGATTCTTCTCATCCATCACTAGTTCCTGAAGCTCCACATAGACCTGCGGCCCCACAGACCTAAATTAGTCCATCAGGCCCAGGGCAGGCCGTGGGGAGACTGGCAGCCCAGGGCATGGTGGACACTCAGCAGGCTCTGAGAGATATTTGTAAGAAGACAAGGGCCCTGGAGCATTTGGGGGCGAATCCTGAGCTCAGAGGGACCATCCGGAGCTCTAGCCTGGAGCGTGAGTGAGATGGGAAGTGTGGAGAGATGCTGGAGGGTCCTGTAGGTACAGCCCACATTTCTGGCTCTATTCCTCAGCTTCCTGACAAGGCCCCTGGCCCCATTTCAGAGGCATTTAAAGAACCTCCAAACCAAAAGAGGTGCTAGGGTGGGTACTTGGAAAGGAAAGGAGAGGGAAGTCTCTGAGTCATTGGGTCATCTCTTGCCTCCAAGATTATTGAGAGGGCCTGTCGACTGGCTTGCCCTTGGGTTTCTTTGAGACCAGGTGGCCACTTTCAAGGGTCTAGCTGAGGGCAGACCCAATTTCCAAACCAGCGAAATAATCCGGGGCCCAGCAAGGACATGTTGGGCCTGGGCAGAGGTGAGCATTATTTAACGCTGTGCTTCCCTAGGAAGCACCTGACAACCTAGCAGCAACCACAAGGCCTGTGGGCTCAGACTTCCAGCAGCCAGTTTCTCTCTGCCCTGTGAACTCTCACCTCAGTGAAAGAGGGCCCAGGTCTCTTAGCTCAGTGGAGACTGTTCTCTTCCGTTCTATTGATTTCCCAGGACCCCCACACCTTCTTGGCCAGTCTGTGGCCTGTTTGAAGCTGTGCCAGTCCCTCTACTCCTCCCCTATTTTGGTAGAATGGTGGGGCCCAAAGGCAACACGGGAAGGAGCTTTGGAAGTGGCTGGGGGACCTCACCTCGTGGGTGCCCCGGTGCGATGTGGTGTGGTAGTCTGTGGCTGTAGGCTCGGTGGCTGTAGGCTCGGTGAAGTGAGCTGAAATCCCAGAGGCTGGTTAGTGCTGCTCCCTGACAATCCTGCGCCACCCACCACGAGCCTCAGAAACCAGCACGGAATGATGCCCCCCTGGGACCCTGGGACCTCCACCCCCATCCCTGCCACGCAGGGGGCTGTGGTCCCCCATGCCTATTCTTGGCCCAGCCTGGCCCTGTCACTCTCCCTCTGAGCATGGTGGAGGGCCTGGGAGTCATCTTCAGTGATGACCAGGAGAGTCATCTCCAAGGCAACTGGGGAGTCCTATATGGCAATTTTCAGGGTTCTCTTAGGGTCTCCTCCCCCTCATGCCACTTTCTGGGATCAGCTCCCTTCCTTCTTCTCACCTGCCTCAACAATCCCACCAGCCCACAGCTTCTCCCTGCTTCCGGGCTGAGCTCTGGGCCCCGGGGTGGTGTCTGCCCTTATATTGCCCCCCCACCCCCAGCCCTCATTTCCCACAGGGGCCTCTTATCTTCAATAGCAATTTCCTGCACTTAAGTCCTGTTGACAGTAAATAGGTCCTTACCTGGGGCTCCCCAACTAAGACCTTGGACAGGACAAGGAAAGTTTTCTGATATCTCTCTACCCTGGGGATCCCCATGGCCCCCCATTTCTCAGGACCTCTGGACCCCCAAACAGGACGATGTTCCCTGAATGGGCCTAGCACCTGGCCTAGAAGCCAGCATTGAAGGGATACGGATGGCATGTGGGCTCCTGTCCTTGTCCCAGACAGACCTGGCTGCCCTCTCACCAATCGAAGGGGCATGGTGACAGGTGACTAGCTCTGCCCCCAACCCCAGTTCCATCCTGTGATCATTACAAACAAAACTGTTTATCCTTCAATCAGCCAGGATTGTGGGAGAACTGGCCTTGGGGCTCGGGCAAGGGGAGTGTAGAGAAGTGGGGAGGACAAATTCTCTAACTGTCCCTGCCTGGGGCTCAGCTGCTCATTCCAAAGGAGGGACACGGGGCTCACCTTCTGGCTCCTCTATCTGAGGCACAGGAATGCTCAGGTCTTCATATTCCTCCTGCTCTGGAATCTCCTCCAGTCCCTCCTCATAATCGTCCTGTGGAAAGTGGCCATTGGGGCTGGGCTGTGAGGGGTTCCCTGAGCCCCCATGAAGGTAGGAGTCCAGGGCCAGGTTCCCAGAGCCCCCAGGTAGGAGGTCTGCAGATGCCATGAAAGACTCACCAGCGAATCCCCCATGGTGCTGTCCTGATTGTCCGATTGTCCACAGGGATCCGAGCCCCCAGCATAACCCGCACTGCGGGCCCCTGTAGGGGAGGGGTGCAGGCTGAGTGAGGCACAGGGCATCCTGGGGTCTCCTGGTTCTCCCCCAGAGGGGGCTGTATTAGAGTAAAGGGGGACCCCAGGTGTTGGGAGACAGTGGGGTCAGAGGAAGTAATTGTAGGTGTGGGTTTGGAGGCAGGAGCTGGATTTGTAGATGTGAGGGCAGTGTGCAGGGCCAAGAGAGATGGGTCTGTTCAGGGAAGAGGCTGCTTGGTTGGCATCAGTCTAAGGGCATTTGAGAAGGATCTGAACCCTCTCTCTATTCGCTAGTCTTCACCTGGCTTCTTTTCCTGCCCACCCCCAGGGTAGCATGACCTATTCCCTCTTCAGGGGGCTTAGGTCCCCTGAGTTTCCATGACACACCCTCTTCTCCCAGAAATGACTGCTTTGCACTGAGTGTGGGGCTGCAGCATCCTTGGGAGTGGCCCACAGGTCTGGATGAGGTGGCCCTGCTTCTCTCCCCCACTTCATCTTGAACTCCGCTTCTTTGGCTCTCTCCTCACTTATCCATTGGCCTCCATACCAAGCCCTTTCTTGCCCCCAGGGCCTTTGCACACACAGTGGTCCACCTTTTGGATGCCCCTCTCCCACACCTCAGCCCTTCTCATATCTCTGTTCAAATGGCACGTCTTTAAGTTTCCCTGGCCACCCTAACATTCACTAATCCAATTTGTCATTTTTCGGTTTCTCGATTTATTTGTGCATATATTATCCGATGATGCCTCTAGAAGGGAAGACACATGAGGGCAAAGACCTTGCATGTCTCAATCCCCACTGAATCCCATACTCCTAGTAGAATGGTTACACATAGTAACTGCTCGGTAAATATGTGTTGAATGAATGTAAGAATGTGGTCTCCTTGCAGGCTTGGGGCTCTGGGACTGGGGAATCAGGATGACGAGCACCTGGCCAGGAGACCACTGAGTCCTGTGCCTCAGTTTTCTCAGTTGTGTCTCTAGCAAAGAGGAAAGTACGCCCATCCCGGGAATGTGAGGACAAGTCCAAGGGAAGGGTAGGCGTCCCCTAGGGTGGCCCCAGGCTGGGCATGGAGGGACTTCCTTTCCCCCTCATCTATTGCAGCACAGGGCATTGTGGCGACAGGGATCTGGGTCAGATTGACACATGTGTCCTCTCTGTGCCTGCATGGTGCTGAGCAGTGGGACGCTGAGATGAACAAGACATTGGCCCTGACTGGGAAGACGAACTGGGAACACGTGACAGGCTAAGTGGTTCAGGAGATATCACGTCCCCCAGACAAACCCACATTATAAGCAGAATGTGCTGGGTGCCAGGGGTCTGTATGGCAGAAGGAAGAGTAGGACTCATTGGTGGACGTGGGGACGGAGTGTCTCTGGGGAAATGCTGGTGCTGGGCCTAGAAGCTCCAGAGGGATTTGAAAGGCTGAGAGCTGGGGAGGGATAGCCTAGGTGTGAGGAGTGGCAAGCAAAGGAGCAGAGCTAGGGCCATGCAAGACAGGGCTGGGTGTCCTGTCGGGGAAGAGGGCAGGTGGTATATACAGAAAGAACTGTACAAAGAACTTTCTTTCTGCAGTCCTTACAGATGGAGACAGGACCATGACCCACTGAATAGAAAGGCAGGGATCCCCGCCTTGGGGTGGTGGTGTGGCAAGTGATGGCTGTGGAAGGGTCCCAGAGCCTGAGGATGAGACGGTCCCTATTGCATGAGACTTGCCCCTTGAGGATCCTGACCATGCACTTGCCTCTCCCTCTTCCCTCCCTCCTTATCCCCTTCTCCCTAGGTTTCCCTGGCAACCTCTTCTCTCGTCTTTATTCTCTTTCTTCCTTCTCTGGCCTTGCCCCCTAGTGGGTCTCAGATCCCCAGCTGCCTCAAGGGTGTTAAGCCTTAGGTGTTAAAAGTCCCACCTATGGGTCTGGGACTGTGGCCTCAGTCTCCCATCTGAAAGGTGGATGGTCAGAGGGACCCTTCAGGGCCAGAGAATCCAGAGATCCTGGCCGCCCGAACAGCCTTGGGTGGCTCCCAGCCTCTCTCTAGGCCTTCGTCATCCCATCTGTACAATGGAAAGGCCTTCCCACCGGGGTTCTGAGACATCAGTGTGAGAGAAGAGGGGAAAACAGAGGTGCCCTGAGCTCAGCTGGGGCCTTAGAGGGTGCACCCATGACCCAGATTGCTACCCCCACCAGGCCCAGCCATTTCCCCCCAGCTGCAGGCCTTGCTCTGCCGGCACTGATAAGAGACTGTTCCCCAATCGCTGCCCTACGTCTGGACGTGCACCAAACACCTGGCCATCCAGCACGCCAGGGCAAGGCCAGATAAGGGTGAGTGGGGCATCTGGAGCCCGGGAGGTGGAGCACAGCTGGAAGAAGCTGTGCGGGGTGGTGACCAGACGATAGGGAGGGCTCCCTGGTGGCGTGTACCATCTTTGTGCAATTGCTCCCACATTGCACCCAGCCGTCCTGCCTTATCTCTTAGAATCCCAAGCCACTTTGCGAAGTGGGTAATGCCATTAGCCCCATTTCGTGGATGAAAAAGATGAGGTTCAGAGAGGTTTACCCCTAATAGGTAAGTATCAGAGGCAGAATTAAACCCTGGCTTACTTGACTCCGGCTACATCTCTAACCATTACACCGAGTTGCCTTCCAGAAGAGAAAACCGCTATTAGCTGGTTTATCGTTAGTTATTAAGATCATGGACTTTGTAGTCAGATTGCATGGTTCCAAGTGCTAGCCTTGCCACTTGCCACAGCTGTGTTACCTGTGTAACTGCAGGCCAGTGACTCAACTTCTCTGTGCTTCAGTTTTTCTCATCAGTAAAATGGGGGTAATAATGATACCTACCTCATAGACCCGTGATAGCATTAAGTTCACATATATAAATCACTTAAAATAGTGCCTGACACATAAGGAGCTCTACGTAAATGTTTGCCATCATTATCACTGCTACTAGGGATCCATCAAGGTCAGACTCGCTATCTTTGTCCACCTCCTATTTTCCTTCAGTTCCCATGGAATTAGCCTAAGAGCTTTGAGATCCTCTGGTGGCGGGCAATTCCTCCTTTCCCTCCAAACACTCCCTAGGGTGGGGATAGTGCCCGGTCTCCCTGGTAGGCTCCCTGAAATGTCTCAAATGGGAAGCAGTGCCAGCTGACAACTTTTCTCCTAGGAGGGAGATAGGGTGGCCTGGGGGTCACCATGCATGGATCAAAGAGGAGGCCGGGGGTGAGATTTGAGTCTGTGGAATCTGAAGGGCTGGTAAATAGGAGCCTGTTAAGGACCCACATACACACTCACACACCAGCCACACACACCTCTGCTGCCACGTGCCAGCCTCTTTTTCCTAACACCGGCCAGTTTTCTCGACACTGGCCGCCCTGCTCACCCCAGCTGCAGGTGTCAATGGGCCTGTGCCCTCAGGGGTCACAACACACAGTGCAATGTTCTCACCCCACCCACCTACACTCCTCTTGGAGGTCAGGGCAGCTATGCCCACTTAGACGAAGATTTAGGTTGGACACTTGCAGAAACCCTCAGGACCGGCACCGCAGGACCACCCCAGCCCCTCCCTGCTCACCTGCTCACGAGCCTTGGGGTCCCTCTGGGAACTCCTGCAGCCACTGGTGCCCTCTGCTACCAACTGAGCTCACACCCGCTCTAATAGCACCAGATTCTCTCTCCTTCGCCCTGGGGGCAGCTTGCAAACCCCTGACTCATGCCCCCGCCTCCTAATCTGCCCGCCCCATGGGCCAAAGGAGCCCCTTCTTACCCCCCCGCCCTGCTCCCTCTGGGTGCCCAGTAAACAGAGTTATCTCTCATGCACATCTGGACAGCTGTGAGTCTGGCCCACCCCACAAAGCCAGCCAGCCCCCAACACCTCCCTCCTGGCCCCTAGGATTCTCCTGGGTCTTTCTTCATGGACTAAGTTTTGATGGCTGAGTTCTCGGAGCTCCCAGCCTCCTGGCAGGTCTGGCCCAGCTTCTGGATGCTCCCGTCCTGCCTCTGTCCATTCTCACTCTGGCAGGACCCTCTGCTCTGGCCCCAAGATGCGCAGGCGAGTTCTCTTTCCTCTCCCAGTGTCTTCTCTTAGGACTCGCTTTTCCTCTGCAGCTTTGCCCATGGGACCTGCTCAGTAGCTCTGCAAGGCACAGGCAGCCCCCTCCCCTTCTTGTCCCAGACTAGGGTGCCCTAGCCACCCTCTCTCTAAGACCCCAGCTGGCTCCAAAGAGCTGGCCCCTGGGCACTAAGACGCTGCCACTCAGTCAACCTGAAACAATGTCAGGTCAACAAAACAACCTTTCCTAAACAGAAGCTCCGAGCTCACAAAGCCCCAATGTCTAGGTACACTGGTTCCTCTGTTGGCAGCCTAGCCCAGGCCCCCTGGCCAGAGCAGCCCGCATTCTCGGCCCACGCCCTGCCCCTCCCCACACCCCCCTATCGGGGTAGTCTCTGCTCCTGGGGGTGCTGGAGCTGGTCACCTATTCCTGGGCTCTGGTTGCTAAAGAGGCAGAGACTGAAAGATGATTTCATATCGGCAAAGAAGAAAAGAGGTTTGAAAGCAGATGACAAGCGGGGTTTGTGGGCACTGCTCTGGGATAGACAGAGGAAACTGTCTAAGCCCAGCTCCTACGCTGACTGGCTGTGGGTCCCTGGGCAAGTGCCTGACCCTCTCTGGGCTTTATTATCCTCATCTATAGGGTAAGAGTGCCAGTTCTGCCAGCTTGGGGATTCCCTGCTTTAGACCCAAATGATAGAAACTCAGAGACCAAGACCAAGAGATGGGCATATCCAGTAATTCCATGACCATTTCCTGGGTCTTCACCACAGTCCTACACTGCCAAGCCCTGGCAGAAGGAAAAGGGCAGAGACTGACCAGAGCTGGAATCCTCCTGTTTACCGGGGCTTTTGTTCCAGATACTGTGCTGGGGGCTTCACCTAGTGGTCACACTTAATCCTTCTAGCCTCCCCATTTTACAGAGGAAGAAATGAACATGACAGAGAGGTAAAGTGGCCTCTTAGTGAGTAATGGACACCAACTCTGTGCAGGGCACTGTGTCCAGCTCTTCACACACATTCTCTTTGAGCTCTCCAAGCCCCTCTCAGGAAGGTTTATTATCATTATTTCCCTGTCACAGATAAGGACTCTAAAGTCAGAGAGGTAGGCTACTAGCCCCAGGCCCCTGGGCTGGTGGAGCCAGAACCAGGACTCAGTGCTGCATTCTGTCTCATGCTAAACCCTGAGCTCCCTCAAACCATGCCAGCAGCCAGCGGGAACAGAAAGGCCCTGGCAGAAGGAGGCTGGGAGAATGCCTCTTCCCACTCCAGATTGCTGCTCACTCTCCCAGCTGGTGGGATCTGTCCCAAGCCCTAGCCTGGACTGAGCTGCTTCCTGTGGCCTTTGGCAGCAAACGCCAAGTGATGCCCCTGCCTCCCTGCCACAGCCCAGAGGGCCCAGGTGTGTTGCCCCTCTACTTGCCCTAGGAGCTCAGAGGCAGCTCAGTGCAGGGGGCAGCAATGGAGCACCTCTCCCAGACCCCAGAAAGGACTGGCAACTGGCCAGGTTGGGGGTGGGGAAGACAACACATGGGAACATCTGGAGCAGAATCTGCCCAGCTGTTTGGTTGTTCTACAAGAACCACCGCTGCAGCCCACCAGACTCCCAAGCAGCAGCGAAGCAGATTGGCGTTTGGTCCTTTCTACTCACCATGTATTCTAGGTCATTCTTATTGCCCTGACCAGATGAGGATGTTTCCCCAAATCTGTCCAACATCTTGTTTCACCTGTTTATCCTTCTCCAGGAAGAAGCGATGGCTCCTCTCACTCATATTCTCCCAATTTGGATTTGGGTCAGTTCAGTTCATCTGCAGGCCCCATGTGCCTGGGCTGGATGCTGGAGAAACAAGACGAGAGAGAGGCTTGCCCTGGGGCTGCACAGAGATGGTTAGAAAGACTGGCATTTGGGAGAATTGAGCAAGACCCCAGGATGCCAGGAGAGTGTACCCTGATGGGCCCTCCAGGACCCACATCCAACACCCTCTTGTGCTCTTCCCTGAGAGTCCTTCTTGCCACTCCTGCTCTGCCATTGCCTAGAACAGGGGTCCCCAACCCCGGGCCATGGACTGGTACCGGTCCATGGCCTGTTAGAAACCAGGCCACACTGTTCCCTCTGGCTGCTGGAGGTGAGCGGTGGGCAAGCAAGCAAAGATTCATCTGTATTTGTAGCCTCTCCCCAGCGCTAGCATCACCACCTCAGCTTCACCTCATCATCAGGCATTAGAGTCTCATTGGAGCACCAGGCCCTGGTGCCGAAAAGGTTGGGGACCGCTGACCTACCAGGACCCCTCCCTAAGGTCGATGGGTGTCTTGGTCCAAGTCTGTGCTCACAGAAGTTTGTTAGCCAAGGCCAAATGTCAGAGGGAGCAAGGTGAGCCCAGGGTGGACCCCCAGGCTGGACCTGAGGAATCCTGCCCTGAACAGTGATTTGGTTGCAGCCCCGAATGGTGTTAATTCCAGACCACACAGCTCAGACCACGGGTTGGGACGGGTTGTCCCAGAGGTAGAGTCTGTGGGCAGGGAGCGGAGTTTTCCTGAAAGGATGAGACTTCCTCATTTCAGACCACCCTGGGATGCAGGCAGCTCTCAGTGAGAAGTGAAGACTCGGCAGCGGGCCTGGAAGGGGAGGCTGATTTCTCTCTTTTGGCCTGAAGGAGAAGAGGCTGAGACTCCAAGTGGGAAAGGTGGGTTTCATGGCAGTTAGGTGAGCTGCCCTTTGCAATGGGCTTGGCAATGAGGTGTTAGGTAGAGCAGTGTGGGCCTGTGACTCCTAAAGGTGCACCCATTCCGTAGCCTCACACCTGCTTTTCGGTGCTCAGTGGGTGATTCTCAGCTGCTCTCCCAAACGCCAGCATAGGCTTGCAGGACAGGAAAAGCCTTCCTGTTGGGAACTGAAGGGAGGGTCTGGGCTCACATTCAGGGCAAAGTGGGCTATGGTGTGTAGTGGCACCTAAGGTGAGTGGAGGTCCAGATGGCATGGGTGACCTACCGAAGGGAGCCAGGAGGCTGGCAGAGGGGACAGGGTCTGGCCAGGTGACCTGGAGGGACTTATAGGTATTCATTGGTGAAGTTATGACTTCCTGTGCCCTCACGAACTAGGACTCAGACCACGGGGATTTTGCACTAAAGGGAAGTGTCCCATGGCTGGGATATTTGGGTTAAGTAGAAATGCGGGGGCAGGAGACTCTGCCTGGGCTATGTGACCTTGAGCTGGCCACATCCTCTCTATGGTCTTGGTTTTCCTCTCCGGGCTGTTGTGAAGACCAAATGGATGACAGATGAGAAGGAGCTGGAGAATACAATCTGCTCTAGGTGCAGGTAAGGGACTGAGTTGTGAATAGGGAGAAGGAGCCATGGGGACCAAGTGTCTCCTGTGTATCAGGTGTCAGGGCCATGCAGCATCCATCCTCGAGGAGTCATGTCCAGTGAGGAGGATGGGTGGCAGCACAGAAGAACCAGAGTGCAATGACAAAGGACGTGAACGAAGAATAGGGGCCCAAGGGACAAGTAATTTGGGAAGGGGAGAAGATGACCCCAGGGAGTCCTCTGAGTTGTCTTAGAAAAGTTCATCGGGAGAAGAGGGAGCAGGAGGTATATGTGCAGCACGAGCTGGGGATGCAGAGCAGTCTGAGCGTTAATGGAAGTATGGCAGTCATCTCTTCACATTATGCATGAGCCAGTCATCAGAACAGCAGGGGTGAGGGTGTGTGGGTGGCAGGAGAGTAGGGGAACAGGGGGGATGGGACTGGAATTGGAAAGGTGTTCAGGGATGAACCTGTCCAGGCCACCTCCCTTGGAATCCTGCACTCTATTACCCACGTCCCCAGCACCCTCAGCTGGGCCTGGGGGGTCAGAGGGGCATCCTGGAGGCTTCTGCCTGTCTCGGGTACAGCTGGGTCAGGTCTGTGCAAAGATAAGTCACCCTGAGCATCCTTCCAGGAGTTGGACAAGATCTCCTGGAAGCTGGGTGGTCAGGGGAGAGGATGAGGGTGGGTGAGGTTTCCCTAAAAGGAGAAGAGAAGGGAGGTCAGAGGGTAGTTCAGAGAGCTGGGAGGTCAGCCTGGCTCTCCAGAGAGCTCAGCGAAGTGGGGGTATTCTGGGAGGTAGGATTTGCTGAGGGGGCTCAAGGCGGGGCTATAAGCTCTCAGAGTTTTGGCATGTGCCTTCTCTGAAGGTTCTGTGTTCTCTGGGCTTCTGGCTCTTTTACACGTGCCGTTCCCTTTTCCTGAGCCACCTTTTCTTTCCATATCTGCTGTATTGAAGCTTCGACCTTTAGGGCTCAGCTCTTGAACCTCCGACTCGGTGAAGCCTCCCTCCCCCCATACTCCCCCAACCCTGGCAGATTGAGACAGCTCAGGGCAAGCCCGCCTGTGTCATCGCCTGTCTGTGCTCTACTGGGATGGTCCATAGCCCTGTCTTTGTCTTCCACAGACCTTGAATCCTGAGGACAGGGACCATTGCTCAGTTCCTTAAACCTGGGCCAGACCTCTTCCCATAGGTGACAGTTCATATGTATTTGTTGACTTTGAATAGAATCAATGAAAAAATCAGTCCCTTACCCTACTGCCGAAAGCATAGATGAGACAGCATTTGAGAA